AAAATGAATTTAATTATTTCTAGCATTTTTATTTATAAAAAATAAAGGAATAAGTGTTTGTAATTTTTCAGTTAGGTGTTCTCTAGAGAACTTCATAAACAATTTTATGGGTGAATTTTAAGGGCTTTGGGGGATGGCCTCCAAAATTATTAAATATTGTGAAATCATGACTCTCAGGAAAATATAAAAGGCATCTATATAAATAATGTTATATAATTTATGAAGGGAGGCTGACATAGTGATCAGTTCAAAAACTGAAAAAAATTCTGTATAAATATAAAATTTACCAAAGAACTAGAATAAAAATTTGAGCTAGATTTTTTTTTTTAATTGGCTAATATCTACTATGGCATAAATCTTTGGGGTTGCTTATAAAAATCATTTGCTTATCTAATGAACACAATTCTACAGATAAACAAGTTATTTTACTGGTCTGGGACCTTTAATTAATAGTAGAAAATGAGATAAACTGAGTATATATAGACCTAGACCTTTATTGTCCAGAAAGGGAGTCATTTGCTATTTAAATATACCTGTTTGAATCCAAGCTTAAACTACTTAAAATGCAAGGTAATAAAGACATTAGCTCCTCAGTGATGCTCTCCACTTTTCAGGTGCTCCCTCGCTCAGCTTGCTGAGAAGCTACCATATGGAGCAGTGTTTCCATCATGAAGAAGATTCTCAGGATGGCTCTGTCCTGCCCAGATAGTTCTTGGGTGGCTATGAACTTTGTATGCTATGAAAGGAATGTAATGCCACCCTTTCAGCTCATTTACAAATTTCAGATGATTTTTCTGATGGTTTTGGTTATGATAGAATTTATAAAAACATAAAAATAAAATTATACAAGTGAATACCTGCTGTATACACGAACTTTACACACATCGTGATCATGCCAAATTGGATAATTTTATGAATAGACCAAATGATACATGATTTATTTTAGTAGTGTTATTTTAAAGAAGCAGCTTTTAGAATAATATACATTTTTTTTAAAGTGGACTATTAGCAAAGTATTCTATATACTATTTGGTTTTCTTAGGGTGTTTTCAGTTAACTCTCACTAAACTGTGGACGTGGGATACGGTGAATGTCTGATAAAACAGACTTTGGTTAAAACAGAAGGAGGTGACCACAGTATCTAAGGAAATGTGTACTGTCTTTTGCTTCACATAAAATTTTATTTTTCTATGTTTAATTATGATGAGATTGAATTATATTTGTCATTGCAAAAATAACATGTTAAATAGAGCCCAGGCTTTGTAATAACACTCAATAGTGCTATAAGGAAATACAACATTCTCCAGTGCTATTAAAATCGAGAGTTAACTGTGTAGTACAGAATGATTTTGCTATGAATATCTCATTAGTAAAATGAAAGAACTATTTCCCTGAATTTCATTATTGCTGCAAATTTGATCATTTAACAAACACATAGCTATTAATAGCTATTAGGTGCCTATTATATAAATAAGATAGAACAGAGTCTGTCCATGTGGAGGGTTTGAACTGGTGGAAGACAGAAAGTATATAAATAACTAATTAATTGCAAGTATCATGAATTCGGTGAAGAATGATGAGCACTTCTGAACCTAGTCTGCCGGGTAAGAACTGGGTGTGTGTGTGTGTGTGTGTGTGTGTGTGTGTGTGTGTGTGTGTG